ACACGTGGACCAACTACAATTCTGATCCAGCTCTCCTTGCCAAAGACTACATGTACGCAAAAAAAAAAAAAAAAAAAAAAAAAAAAAAAAAAAAAAAAAAAAAAAGGGAAACATGAACAAAAACAGAAGATATGGAGAGCCCAAGGATGAGGAGATGAATATGGTGGAGGTGCCAAGGTAGTGGTAAAATAAGGCACTCAAACAGGGATAAGAGACAGTGAAGGAGAGCATGGGGCTAAAGGTATCAGCCTGCATGGCTATTGCATGGGTTTTTAAAATTATTTTAAGCTTTTTCTTTCATTCTTTAGGCATTTGTTAGCTGTGTCGAGGTCAGAATATACAGGCAATGGTTAATGAACCACTAATTGATATTAGATAGCAATTCTCAAATGTTGCGATTGTTATCTTTGTTCTATAGTACGAAGTATTTATTTTTGTACAATTGTAGTTTTAGCACCACAAGAAATCAAGTGGGGATATAGTAACATTGGATGGTAAGGAGGTGCCCATGAGCAAGGGTTCTTGGGTTGATTTTGGAAAAGAGTGGAGAAATTGACTGATGTGTAACCTACAAAATTGAGTGAGGTTGGCACAACGGGAGAGCAATAACTAGTGTGTGATTGTAGAGTACCTTTGAATTTAAAGAAAAAATTCTATTGGACGACTATCCTCGGAGTTGTTATATGTGCTGGATCTTATTAGGCAGATGGGAGTAGCAGAGATGCATATGTTTAGATAGATGTGTGGGGGACATCTTAAAAGGGTAAAAATTAGAAACGGAGATATTAAAAAGAAAATTGGAGTTGAGTACAAAATCAGGGAGAATTGATTGCGTTGGTTTGGGCTAGTTACGCAGAGATCTAAAGACACAACAGTAAGGAAAGTAGAGAATTGGGATCAAGGATCTCTAAACAGGCATAGGAAAACCATAGATGATTTGGATGGAACTATGGAAGGAGTTAAGGACATGAAAAAGTTAGGTTCCAGGATCATACAACATTGAAAATAAGGGAATGGAAGGAGAGGATAATGGTTGGCGAGATATGTGATAAAATTCATAGTTCATGTAGCCGACCCTATCTTTGGGATTAAAGCTTTGATTGTTGTTGTCTGTAATATTTAGTTTCAAAAGCGTGTACACTTCTACTAAGGCTTTGTTTTCTTCACCTAAAATAATGTGTTCAGGTCTAAATTTTCAAAAGTCGGGTATAGTCTAATCTAATTGTCTAATCTAACAAACTTTGACCTTATTTTACATTAAATGTATAAGAAAAAGCATTATTAAATGGGATTTTATTAGATTCATCTTAATGAGTATTTTTCAGGTATCTAGTTTTCATAATTTTTACAAATACGAAATTAATGATACATGACAATAAGAAAACAAAATAAGATCAGGTATGGTCTGATTGAATTTTATAAAAATAAAAATAAAAAAAGATGAAGATGAAGAGAAAAAGCCAAAATGTCCTTAAGCTTGTTAGGTGAATTTATCAAAGAGGATTAGTAAATTGATTTAATTAGTAAATTTTGAACGGTAGTTGGTAGCGAGTGTTTTATTTTTCGTCTTTTATAATAGTTATTGGATAGTGGGCCATTTTATTTTAAACGGATATTAGGGGTCGTTTGGTTGGACCATTTGGAATGGAGTTAGAATCCATTCCATCTAATTTTTTGTTTGGTTGAGTTTTTTAGTAGTAGAATCGCATACTCAAGGGGTCTTATCTCTCCCCCATAACCACCTCCTCCCCTAAGATTCACAATCCATTCTTTTAATGAAGTATAGAATCCATTCCAACAATTAAACCAAACAACTTTGGACTAGTATGGGTTTAGAATCCATACCTCTCTAGTATGAGATTCCATACCAATTCATTCCAATTTGATGAACCAAACACCCCCTAAGTGATTCTTTTATTTTTTTATTTTTTTAAGAAAGTGGTAAGTAAAGTGATCCAAAAGTAATTGAGAGAAAAATATGGAATAAAAAATAAATAACAGTGCGATTTTCTATTCTATAAAAGTGTTACAAGTAAATTGGGATGACTTTATGGTACCTAATAAGCTCATTCAAACATGATCCTAGCTCCCGTTTCTCACCGTATTCAAATCTTAAAACACTTGCACATGCCCTAATTCTAAAATCTGCCCACCATCAATTATCCTGACCAGAGCCATCTCCTTAGTAGTGTAATTACCAGTGTAAGTTGTCTCTCCAACCCACCCCACCCCCCCCCCCCCCCCACACACACACCAAAAAAAAAAAAAAAACAAAAAAAACCACACAGTAGGCTTAGCTTCATGGATTGAATCAAAGGAATACGTTACAGCGCTGTAAAAGCATTGTATTTAGCCCTGCCTATCAATGCAATAGCTTCAGATTAAGCTGTTAATCTAATGCCACAAAAAGATGGAGGAAAATTGCAAAAGCAGGTAAAATAATTTAAATGCTTGAAAAGGGAATCATGGCCAAGAGAAACAAATAGCAGAAACAAAAAAATCAGGTCAAAATCAAGAGGATATACACAGATGCATTTTGGATGAAGAATAAAGACTACCTGCAAGGCTGTTTGGATTGTCTCCAGACCATTGAATAACCAAGCAATTTTTGCTGAACTGATACCTGAAATATATTTTTTTTTTTAAAAAAAAAAAATTAACACACACACAAAAAAAAAAATAGTTATCACCACAAGTCCACAATCACAAGCAATCAAATAGCTGCATGCAAGAGCACCTAACACGCGCAGCAAAGAAACAAATGTAAAAAGATTTGACACATCAGTTGATTAATTCTGCTGAGATACTGCAAGTATAATCTTAAACACATGGTAAATTTAAAACTATAGTATCTAAAATCTACCTCCAAAATCTTAGAGAACATGAGAGTCCTTATTCTTCCTTAAATATTAATAATGGAAACCAACCTCATTTACTACAAGACTATGGCTGACAAGTATGGCAGATCATGGAACATGACCCCTCTGCTATGAAAATAATACCAGATTCAACACTTCTTGTTACCAACTTGCAGAAACAGGATTCAAACATTAGATTTTTTTCCCACTATCTTTCATTTCTGGTATAATTGGCAAGAAAGTCATACACACTAACGTCAGGAAAAAGGAAAAAAAAAAAAAAAAAGGTACCAGCAACCCGTTTTTATATCACATCAAACTTTATCATATACAAAGTATGATAAAAGGGAACAAGTAGATATCAATATTCAATAGCAGTATACTAACCTCTCCACAAAATATGAAGCAATAAATCCAGCAACAGCGTATGCAGGAGCAGGTTTTCCAAGCTTTTCCTCCAATGAAGGTGCAGTAGCCTATACCAAGATTGAATTACATAAAGATTGAATCATACAGACATCAACAAAATAAAGCAACAAATATGATCCTTGAACAGAACGAGTCCAATCATCAAATTAAAATGTTTAAGCTAATGTAACAGATTGCATACATCTAAAGCCTTTTTAGACCATATTCTTTGCTTGATATCCAATAAATTCATTCCAGCACCATCTGTTTCATCAATGCTAGCATAGCCTCCTATAAGAAGAGATGCCATAAACGAGCTCACAAGTGATATCCTTTCAGTTTGACTGTAGACTTCGGGTTGTGTCTCATATATCCTCCGAATCTGAGGGCCAGTAAATCTTTCATAGGCACGAGACCCTGTGAGAGATGATAATTCCTGTGCCCCACCTACAGCCTCCTCAATCTTCCTGCATTGTTCAGTGGTACTACTATCCATCCATATCGGCGACTCCTTAATGGAGAAAGCTTCTGCAAATTGTTCTACCAATTGTTTCTTAGGATCCAAAGACGACAATATTGACAAACTCTCATTCTTCCAATACACACTACCATGCTGCTGCCCACTTCCAGACACAGCAGCAACCTTTCCAAAATCAATCTTTTTCGACAATTTGTTAAGCATTATATCAAGAGCTTCAACCCACAATAATGTAGGCGAAACAATCCGACCATTTACTGAAGGATCACGGTAAACTCCATCCTTAGTTTTATAATGAGGCAATTCAGAATCAAAATGAACAAGCTCAGCCGCAACAGTATTAAAGTTGGAATCCAATACTGTAGCTTTTAAAGACCTGAAAACAACCAAAATTCAACACAATTCAAAACATAATCGGTAAATTACAACATCCAAACTAATAAAATCATCAAACTAATATAGCCCATCAAAATTTGATAGCTAAAATTCCCAAATTTTTAATCAGTTTAAATAATTTTAAATAATGTAAGGCCAGAAACATTATGGATCAAACACAAATTTCTTAAAATAAAATTACGACATGGGCAATAAAAATTGATCAATTAAACCTGAACAAACAAAACATTAAATGTAAAAAATAAATAAATAATTTGCGACATGGGTACTGAAAATTGGGTGATAAGAATGCATATACGAAGAGGAAAACTCACTGAGTAGAACTGTCAAACCCCAGAAAGAAAGAGTCTTGAGGAAGAGAGAAGTCCGCCATTGATGAACCAATTGATCTCGTTGAAGCTTTTAAAAAAATTGAAAAATCAATTTGAATAGGAGAATGACATTTCGATGATAAATTTCTATAAATATGATTTCAATTAAGAGGATAAGAACAAGTATGATCAATAAATTCGTGTACTGATTTGGATAAAATCCATATAATTAGGATATGCGTTGGTACTTGATCACGATTCACGAATATAATTTGGATAAAGTTTGTACATAATTTCCCCAAAGTACATAATCAAAATCAAATCTAAATATCTCCCTCCAGTTTTGCTATTTTTTTTTTTTATTAATCCTACCCATGGGCCATGGTTGTACGTGTAAATCTAATACAGTAGGAATATCTAACGGTGCATTTGGCATCATTGCTGTTTTTGATTTTTTTGTTTTTTACCCCCAAATTAAAATAAAACAGTGATTGGTAAAATAGCTTAAAAAAACAACTTTATAGCTATTTTGTAAAAAATAAAACGGTAAACCTAAAACACCTAAAAGCAGTTTTTGAGGTTTTAATTTTTTTTTTTTAAAAAAAAAATATATAAATAAACCTTATCAAAGCGTATCATCGATGGTTCTCCTTCAAATTCAATATCTCATCTTTCTTCCTCAAATCATTCTCAAGATTTCATTCTCAAGATTCAAGGAGCAAGCAATTCCAGGTATGAAGCGTTCTCCTCTCTCTTTTCTTTTAATTTCATTTGCAATCACATTCACCACGTTTCTCTCTATTGTTCTTTCAATTTAGGATTTTTTAACATGAGTGGACAAACCTTTGTCCGGTTCTCCAAGAATGGACTGACCTTTAAATCGTCTCATTTTGGACATAAGTTTTCATTTTTTCGCCCAAAATGGACTAAACAGGTAACCTTACCTGTTGTAACCAGTTTCCTCGCTGACGTGGCACTTACCGTTGGTTTTTCTCTGTTTCTTCTACAAAAATTCTCGATGCACAAACCTCACAACCGATGCCGTTTAAAAACCACCCCTTCCACCACCTAGGCATGCATGCGCCACCCCATCCTCACCACCACAAACCTTAAAACCCCACATAACCACCACCCTTTGCTTCAATCTTGTTGTCGCTGCTGTCCACTTCCATGGTCACCATTAACACCATCCACCACACCCTACTTCCACCACCCATATAGGAAAAAAGCCCACCCTAACCACCACCATGACCCACCGCCACCAAACACCAAAGCAAGCAGCACCTCACCCACACCACCTCACCAAATCGGCAAATCCCATACCCCGCTTCGTTGCACCACCAACCCACAACCACGTTTCTTTGCATCACAAACCAACATCAAATCACTAACATCAACTTCCCAATTAACACAAACAACAATAATGAAACTAATCCAGCAAACAATCACCCACTTTGTTCAAATAAGAAGAAAAAAAAATCCAATATCTTAATCCAACATTAATCACATCAATAAAAAAAAAAATCAACAAAAAATTCAAAAACAAAACCAGAAAATCAGAAATCAATTTTGGAATTTTCACTTTCAATTCATATAAAAAAATTCAAATTGTAGGGGTTTGGGTTTCATTACTATCATTAGTATTGCAATTAGTTGGGGTTTTGAGGTGGTTTTAGGCCAAATAGGGCGGCGACGGGGGTGGGTTGCAGGTGGTCGGAGGAAAAGTTGGAAAGGGGATTGATTGTGATTGTGGGGTCGAGGGAAGAAGAAGATGGGTGGTTCCCAAAGGTCAACATGGCTAATGTTGACTTCGTTTACCGGTTGCAGGTTAACTCAGTCCATTATGGGCGAAAAAATAAAAACTTCTGTCCAAAATGGGAAGATTTAAAGGTCAGTCCATTCTTGGAGAATCGGGCAAAGGTTTGTCCATTCACGTTAAAAAATCCTTCAATTTATTGATGCTTTTGTTGTTAAATTTTGTTGTATTCAATTTCTTTGATTAATTTGTTCATTATTTTTCTGAATTTTAATCGTTCTTTGTCTAATTTGTATATAATTTATTTTGGGTTTTTATATTTGAGGATTTTTTTTCTGAAATAATAAGAGTGTTGTTAATTGTTACAATCAACACTCGTATTGATTGAATTTTCTATGATTCTAATTCTTAATTACCCTTATTATGATGTTAATATGTTTTAGTTAATTCAAAGAAGGAAGTCTTAGCTAATTATTTGATAATTTGTGTGCATTATTTTTAATATTTTGGAATGTTGTTCAGGAAGTAGGAAGTATGAATTTTATTCTTGTAATGTAATCAATTTTGAAAATTTGGGGTGAATTGAAGCTTTATGCCTTGACTATGGAGTAGTGATGGCTTGTGGTTGTTAAGAAGTTATATTGTTATATATGTGTGCTAACTGTAGCTGGAATTGTTACATTTATGTTGTGTCTTGCTTATTTACATAAGAATTAGTTCTTTTAATTGAAGCTTAAGAGATTGTAAGTGGAGTTGTGTGATAACTCACTGAGTTGGGTACACGTACACCCGGTTCTGTATCAGATTCCTTGCTCTCAAGAAGACTTGTTTATGGAGTTGAATCAATGGATGACTAGCGTGTATTTGTTGAGTTAAACTTTTGAACATATGCTTCTTGTTTGATGACATCAATGGATGCATGTGACTGATAGGATAGTTTTATTTGGCTTTACTAAATGCTGTGAGAAATTTAAGCTTAGTGTATTTTGCTTAGAGTACTAGTGTGGATTGTTGTATTTTACACCCCTTTCTTATTTAGTGGAGGAGTTTCAAATTTCTGGAGGATGAGAACAATATGACTATACATATTGGAGCAAATTGTTGTCTTAGGAGTTGGGAGAAAGAGTTTTTTTATACTAGTATTAATTTTGTGGTGTAATTTATGAGAGCTATATGCCAAGTTAGCTTAAATAGTATCAATTACTTTATGAAGTTTAAATGTTTAACATACTGGTAATGGGAGACAAATGGTTGTGCTTTTTAAGGACCTACAATTATAACAACGGAATTAGGTAACTCGTAATAATCATTCTGAAAGGAATAGTGTCCTTCCAACAAGTGTATTGTTCCGATAGAGGGTTCAGAATTATTGCAGAGCTAATTATTCAGTAAAATCAAGTGATCAGAATGCCTAGGTGGAGGCCGCTTCCGATCAGTAATATCAAGGTACAATTGATATTACAGCTTAATCTTAACTGAACCCTTCGGGTCGAACCCAATAGAACTACCGATCCGAGACGACGAATTAATCTGAAGGATTTAATGAGTCAACAGAGTTTTACGAATACAAACGTTAGATATCGAGCCTAGGGCGTCGAGGCCGAGCGTCGCAAAATCACAAGCGACAAGTACGAGCATAGCCGTAGCATCACCATGGTCTAACCATGTGGATGTTAGGCTAGCTCGAGCTAGCATGCACCTAGCATGGCTAGGCGCACCATCGCGAGCACTAGGTGCTGGCGTGCGTGCGTGCCTAGCATGGCAGCACCATCGCTAGCACCAAGTGCTAGCATGGATGCTAGCCTCGCATCGCAGCGCGCTGGGCGTGTGCAAGTGCCTAAGCGCCACAGCAGCCCTAGCACCATGCACAGCACCATCGCAATGCCAGGGGCTTGCGTGCGTGCGTGTGCGTGTGCACCATCGCCCAACACGCATGCTAGGGCCTAGCATGCATAAGCACGCTGGCTGGGCTGGCTGTGCATATAGATACGAGTGTGTGCGCGTAGGCTGCTTGGGCATGCGAGGGAGTGCGTGAGAGTGCTAGGGCAAGCACCAACACAACGTGCTAGCTGCGCCTAGCGCTAGCACGTAGCACCAGCGCCAGCACGCACTGCCTGGCTGGGGATGCTAGGCTGCGGGGCAGCGCTAGCTGGCAGCGCTAGCTGGCTGGCTGCCCAGCAGCCCTTGTGCCGGTTGTGCATGGGTGTGAGGACCAATCAAGGCCCTTGGGGAGAAAGGCAAATGGTCCCCCTACCTAACCTTGGACATCACTCATTAGCATGTGATTGTGCCACTTGTCGCAATGTGATTAAGTTAATTATTTATTTAATTTGGAATTAAATAAATTATTGATTTTACCAACTCTTCCACATTGGTGGGAGATTGGAAATCAAGGACCCAATTCCCTATAAATACCTTGCAAGGGTATTGGGAATGGGATAACCTTGAGTGGAATTAAAAAGGCAACTCTTGATTTGAGTAAACCTTTGATTCGTAAAACTCATAGTTTTATTTTTCCGGGTCTTGACTAACCTTCAAGACTTGGGACGCTCGGGTCGGGTCGAGGGTACGATCCGTTGGAGGCTTCATGGTTTCGGGGCTTTGAAGTAAGAGCTCCTCGGTGAGCAAAGCACGCATCAAAGGTATAATTGTTTATCCTTTTCTTGTTTAATTATGTTTGTTTTGCTTGTTAATTGCTTTAATTAAGGGGCGGGTCTTGGGGGATTTCCTTCCGCGTAGTGTCGGGTCACTACGAAACCCTACACATTCATCTCTTATTCTCTTTCACACATTTAATTCGTGTCATCAGCAATAATAGATTTTTGATTATTCACTGTTTTTCATGTCATGTCAACTCATTTTGAAAATTGAAAGATAAGCCGGGATGGGAAGCAGCGGTGGCGTGGACTCCGGAGGATAAAAATGCTACAAGCCAAGGGAGAGCAAGGAAAATATTTGCTACAAGTGCAGAGAAAGCAGAAGGGTATGCAGTCTGGTGGGCAATTAAAGAGAACATCAGCCAATATAAGAGTATCTTAATCAGATCAGATTGTGAGAATGTAGTGAAATCTCTAAACTCGCCTGAAACGTCTTCGGTGGAGCAAGTGTGGTCATGGACATCTTAGATATGATAAGGAGCTTAGATTATTTTATTTGCATAAAGGTACAAAGAGATTGTACTGTTTGGATCAAGTAGGAGTTTTATCTGTGATCGATTGTTCATTTGCCCCTTAGGCAGTATATGCAATCAATAACAATGGATTCGAGGACCTAGTGACTCCTTCTGTAAGTGATAAGTCGTGTTTTGTGTATATTATTTAGCTTGTTTTTAGTTAGTTTTGTTAGTTTAGTTGAGTATTTGAGTCCGTTTTGGTGTAATTTGGTTTAGTTTCGATGATTCGATGCTTTTATGGGTAGTTTCGTTGTTTTTTATGTATTTCAGGATTAACGGAGCTAATTTGGAGATTTTACGAAGTCACGAAGCTATGCCGAGGCCCACGAATATTAAATCATGTGTTCAAGACGAACTTGAGTGAAAATGAAGCAAAACGTTGATGAAATACTTGACAAATATGACATCTGTTCACTATTATGCTCATAACTTTTGGTATACAAATGATAATGGAGTGATTCAAATTCCATTGGAAATTAGACTTAAATACCTTTCCAACGATATATTACACGCCTCAAACGAAGCTCCGGATATGAAGTTATGACTGATTTAAGATGAGTGATACGCGCAGCAGAGCAGGCACGTCCGTGCCCATCACCAGGCACGTCCGTGCCTGGAAGACAGACTCAGCAGCGTTTTTGTTTTTAGAGAGGCACGTCCATGCCTCCTGGGATCCTTGTGCGCCAAGCTTTTTGCCGACTTTCTTATCTTTTCTAGGGCTATTTATATACTAAGTGGTGTTTTATTAATTAATTAAGTTTATTTTATTTTTCAATTCCTATTATTAAGAACTAGTTCTCTATTTTTATTTCCTTTACTTTTGTAATTCAAGATTCAAGCTTTCTACCTTCAATTCAATTCAAGATTCGGTATTTTCTTTTAATCTCTTTATTTATTCATGTTTTCATTATTATTTATTGTTCTTGTTTTTTTTTTTTTTGTTAATATGTTAGAGTAGATTGTTGTTCTAGATTTAGGTTGAACCCTAATATGGTTAATACTTAATTTATTCTTTTAAATTCTCAATTAATTATTTATATTGTTCATGCTTAATTGATTGCGCTTATGCCAATACTAGATTAGAGATAATTAGTATTGTTTTTATTCCATTGTTTTAATCGCAGCGAGAGTTGGGTTTTAACGGATTTGAATAGATCAATTAAGGGTTTGATATTCATCACGAGAGTAGTTGAATGGATAATTAGGAAGTTAGAGTAATGTGCTTAATGTCTCTAATTTGCATGATTCCATGAGAATGGGCTTGATTGTGGGTTAGAGAAGCCATTGATACTCGAGAGAGGTCCTTGGTATTATTTAGGGATTACTTTTCCTTGTGAGCATATAATTAATTGATTGGGGTAGGAATTTATCTTGTATTGATTATATTAGTGGTAATACTTAATTCTAGAGTCTTTATTATTATTAGATTTATTTTGTTAGTTCATAGTATATATTATTCAACTCATTATTTTATCTTGATTCGGCTATTGTAATTCATAGAAACCATTGTTTAGTCCAACCTTCTCTGTGGGATCGACCCTGACTTACCCTACTACATATTAGGAGGTTTAGTTAGGTTTTTATTATTTTTGTTAGGTGTGCGACCGCCTACCAGTAAGTCAACAAGAACTTCAAAGAATGACTCGGTTTCGAGATTGTTTGGAAAAACAATTGTGGGAAAGACAAAATTCACAATGAAAGTTATCAATGAGAAATAAATATACATTGCATTTGACTATTTTATTATTACCTTTTTTTTTCTGTAGTTGTTCTTTAAAATTTTGTTATAAATTTATTCAATCAATAAATTTATTATTGAAATATGTATATTTTTCTTTTTGTAAAAATAAATAAGCAGCTATTTAAAAAATTAAAAATAATAATAATAATAATAATAATAATAAAAATAATTATAGGCAGAGAGTTGATTAAAGCTAGAATCTATAAATGATTTGGTAATATGAGAGTTGATTGTAAACTAAAAACTGAGAAATGGAAACAGTTTTTAAAAATAAAGAATCAAAAACTGAAATCAGTTTTCAGTTTTGAAAAACCAAAAAACTGAAAACGATGCCAAACGAACCCTAATCAATCCAATCTATTTTTTTTTTAAAAAATCCAATCTAATTTATTTGAAGAAAAACAAAAAATCCTAAAAATACAAGAGTTTCTTAATAATAAACAAAGAAATTGTATCACATGACATTTTCGCAAATAAATCAACAACTTTTTTTTTATTAATGTGATGTGATAACCAATGTTTGTTTATCACTGAGAAAAATTGGGGCAAGCTAAAACAAATCCTCGTATTTGAATTTAAGTTTTAACTAGTGTGTGGCTCGAGCAATGCACCGGGTTTTGCTTTGAATATCAATAAATATTATTTGAGCCATACCATATAAACTATATAATTAAAAAGAAGTGAACAATAATAACTTATGAAACTAAATAAGCAATCTCAACTTGATGTTTTATACAAAGGATTTAGTATATTATAAAACATAATTAAAAGATAACAAAGACAAAGATGGTAAGAGAAAGGTGTTGCGATGATGTGGCATATTTCTAATACATGTATGTGAAAGGGTGTCACGTGGCACATATTTTGTATTAGGAACTCTTTTTTTATATATTCTATTTTCAGTGTGGGTTTTCTGTTTCGGTGTTCTGGGCTGCTGCGATCAGGCGAATATCTGGCTGTTTTTAGGCGCGAATCTGGTGTGTTTTCAGGTGAATTTTCTGGTGTGTTTCAGGCGAGTTTTCTGGCTGTTTTCTGGTCAGTTTTTTGGTAGTTTGGTAGCCGATTTTTTATTAGTTTTGGGAAGGTTTCTGGTTTATTTTTCAGCCATATAGGGTGTATTATTTCGACGGCCTTTCTTCTTCTCCGGCAGCAATTCCGTTGGCTTATTCGTGTGGTTTTGGTGCATTTTTGGGACGTTTCTAGTGCAGTTTGTGTTGTGCTGTTTTGCGATATTCTCATGGCAAGTTGCATGGGTGTTATGCCTCCTATTGTTCACTTTCATTGCCCATTTGTGGGTCTTAATGGGTGACATGATGGCGGGGGTAATGGGCTCACAAAAACTTCTTTGCTCACTCATCTCCGTGACTGTCATTGTTGTACGGATGCGCGGGATATGACTCAAAACTCTCTTTCTTCTGATTTGGCTATTTTCTTGGAGGCTGAGACGACCTTTCGTTGTATAGGCATTTGTCTTTGTAGGGATTGTTTCAAGACACATACTCTTCGTTCTAAGTGTTGACATGAACCTAGTTCTGATATTGTGGCCCCACCTGATTTCGGGGATGGAGTTGTACGTTTGTTCTTTATGGTGTTCCCAAACCGCAGGATCCTTCTTCGGCGGTATCTGATCTTGTTCCTAGTGTGCCTCGTGAACCTTGTTTGGGGGTAAAAATACCCCTAAAAGCGGACCACTGTTAACGCAACACGTGTCCCAATAGCTTGCTAACACGTGTCAGCCTTAGAGAGGCCCAAAGGGATCCAACCCTCTACTGACACGTGTCACCAAACCCTAGAAAGAGGGCTGATCCCCTTCCCTATAAATAGAGGAACCATCCTCATTTATAAAAACAAGCATTGAATACACATTCAATCCACAAAAAACCCGAGCAATCTTCATTGTAGAATTCTCTCTAAATCAGAGAGAAGTATTTACATTCCTCACTATACTCCTCATACACGTTCTAACTTGATCGTCGGAGGCGGAACTCCCTCGGGAGTCTCCGTTGTGTTGCAGGTACAGGCAGCCGGAGGTCAGTCTCGGTGTTGTAACTCTCCCGCAGGACACATAAAAAAACCCCGAAACATTTGGCGCCGTCTGTGGGGAGAGTACCATTGAGATGGCTTCACAGCAGTCTGTACCACCTCGTGACAGGAGGCGGTCTACGGTTGAGTTTAAAAACCGAGTGCCTCCTCCCTATCCTAAATGTCTGAGCCGGTTTAAATGCCGCCCTACCTAGACAGCTTCTAGAATACCTCAAATGAGGCATTCACAATCAAACCAAGGGGGTTAGTCAAGCGGCTTGGCCGTCCTTCTGGCCCTCAGATAATCCATTTGGCACAGTATGCGCTCCAGGAGCCACACATGCCGTATGGACAGTCATGTATGCACCCGGCCCCTTTTTAGGGGTTAGGCGGCAAAAATGTCCGTTAGGACTAGCAGCTCCGTCTGCAAAAGCCTTGGGGAACAACCTTCTGTGTTCTCAAAGAAATAACGTTCTGGTGTGAAAGCGCTAGACCGCCGAATAATGCAGGCGTCATCAAGCCAACTGTGAAGAGCAGCAGGCTATATTGAACCAGGAGGCTCTCCAGCCATGCATCCGGCATTACCCCAGCCGGAGCATGTGATTGAACTCAAAGAGTCAACCGGTTGTAATGTGATCTAGCACCTGGTGGCACAAACCAATCCACATAGCAACTGGCCATTTCTAGTCAAGCATCCGTTTGAATTTAGCACCGGCTGTGGGTATACCAACGCTAGTCGCCTAACAGGCCAAGCATACGGCCAACTCAAGCATAATCATGATAATCATTATTATGATTGGTATAATGGCTTGATTATAATAATGATTTATCAAATCATTATAAAAAAAAATATATTTGCAAGTGGAGTACATAAGTTAGCTGGCCAAATTCGCCACTTACTGCAATTATTTATTAATGTATATACATTAATATATACACAAAGGAGCAAAAAGCTAAGTGTCACGGTCCAGGAGTTTGGACCCCAAAACGTGCGGCGCGCTCTAGCCTTTTGGCGGCAAGAACGCTAGCCTTGAGCGGAAGAGGGGCTTGTGAGCACAAAGCAACACAAGCGGGCAATAGAATCTCAGGAGCACTCACGTCTATCTGGGCGACGGAGTGCGGGTGGTCGGGGCTTGTGACGGCCGATACTTCAAAGCGGGCACAAGCGGGTCCGAACCACGAGTCCTTAGCGCATCAAGTTGGGTTGGAGGGGAGCTAATATGCAAGTAAGACACAATATCTATAAAGGTCTAACAACAAACAAGCATAAAAGCAAGGCAACACTTGGTAGAAGGCTTTAAGATTTCATTAATCATTCGCCCTCTAAAGAGCTTTAAATGACATACAAGGAGAATCCCTAGTGAACACTGATCTGACAGTAACACAATAATGGGACCTCAAGCTAAGAAAACATAACCTAAACTCTAGGAAAGCACTTAAAT